TAACTTAGGAAAAGGTCTATGCTGATAGAAAACCCACATTTCTTACAGTGATTTTTAAATTCAGAATGTACTTTAACTTTATCACACAATACATAGTGTCACCCGAATCTCCAATTGTACTCTTCAAGTTCCAAGAGTCTAACAAGTCTTCATTCCTTCAGTCACACAAAACAACAAGTCTTGGAATATGATTTGATATTAGCAGTCTCTTTCCTTTGCAATGTTTTAAATTTTATTCTGGGTTTTTTGCCTGCCAGACAAATCTGGAAATTTTCTGCCATTCCACAAAAGCTATTTCACTTCTTAATACGAGGGTTCATTTGAAATACAAATAAAAGTTTTGGCAAAACAGTACCTTTTATTATTTCATTTCTACCCAGAAGGAATACATTTAACTTTCCCTTGTCTCAAAATCTCTTTCAAGCCTCCTCATTTAAGAAAGTCTAAGAGAAATAAATCCTCTTGCTATTTCTGAACATTTTATACTGCTAGCTTTGCATCATTACAGTGAAAATTATGGATATCCAAGTTCTTTTACCTCTCCCATTATATGTTCTTTTCTCTAATGTTGGTACAAACTGGAAAATAAAGCTCTATCTTCATACATTTCCAAATCCCTACACATCTAACCTCCTTTAATTGATTGGTTTCTTGCTTAAGGACACTTCTACAACATATGCAATTTTTATTCAAATTAATCCCAAAAGGAAAAATGAATATGAACATTACACATTCACAACACCTCCCCAGCCAAATGTTCCACAACACAAAGCAAATAATAGCGAAATGCATCCATACTTCTGAAATTTTGTAGGTATCAAACTTTAGCTACATGATATTCTGGGGATTCAGCTTTCAAGATATTGCCATCATCCTTCACAGCTGACTACGTGGGCTAGATCTGGTGGCAGTTCAGTCCAGCACAAGCTGGAGACCCCAAGCATTGGTAATCAATTATATTGTATTCCATAATTATTCAGAAAACAAGGAGTATATAAGAACATCCCTTCTTAGAAACCTGCAAACTCTAAAACATTCTTACAAACAAACAAACAAACAAGCAAACCAAAAGACTGCAATCCAAAAGCGCAACAACTTTAAACTCACTTTTTTGAGACTCAGCTGGCCTGATGTGCAACTATGCCTGCAAATTTCATCCCATTAAGTTAAAAACATCCCAAAAATATATTTAGATGTAATGATATGAAAACCCTGCACCTTTTTGAATTTGATAATGCCTCAACATTTCCTTACATTCTGATAAACAAAAAAGTATTCATTTTCTATTATAGTTAATGGGGCATTAACACTGATTTGGTTTTCTGGATTATGATTCAGGCCTAGACCAAGTCAAATTAGTCAGTGTTCCAATTCGTCCAAGTGAAATTGAGTTACTTTCCAGATTGCCATTGGGGGTCGGTTGGCCTAAAGCTAATCCTGTGATCATGCCTCAAAAAGAAAGTATGACTCTGCCACAAATTACAAAGAAAAACTGTATTAGCTAACACCATACTTTAACGCAATTAGGAATTGAAGAAGGAAAATCTATTTGACATATATGAGGCAATTCATGTCCTTTTTGGAATATACTGAAGATCAGAACAAGGCAATGGAAAATCAAATTTAACAATTTCCAATAACTTGTCATTTTGTGGAAAAGACTCTGACCCAAAGAAGACATAATTACAGATAAATATGTTTCAAACATTGATCTGTCTTCTTTATACAGAAAACTTCTATGCAGTCTGTCTCCCAAAATATTGTCATCTTCAGAATAATTATACCAGAATAACTTTTCTACATAATAGGCAGCGATCTGCTTGTTGCTGTTTTTCTAAAATGTACATTTTGATATCACATTTAATTGGACCTCTATTTCCATAGCAGTCTTTTTGTTTCTCTGTAATGTTTCTGTATGACTTCCAGCTATTTATACACAATTCTTTTTCTAATTTCAGTAAAATTATATGCAGGTATACCTCAGTTAACAAAGTTGAAGTATTCATGGGCTTTCATTCTTTAACAGGAAATGCGGTATCAGAAATGGACATAACATGGAAAAAATTGTAATTTTCTATATCTACACTATAAAAAGAAAGAACAATTCAATATGTACCAACGAACCTTTTATTCAATACTAATAATATGCATGTGTAAAATGAGACAAGACAGCTTAAGTCTTACCTAATTAGGTGAAAATATTTTGAACTTTGTAAAAACCAACTGAAAGTTTCTCCCAAAATACATAGAGCAATGATTTTTTTTCTTTCACCAGTTCCTACTTATACTTTCCTTTATGATCGCCAAACCATTGTGAACTTACACCTTTTTTCATGTTGTAAAATCTCCTCAGTAGGAAATTTGAGAGGCAATTGATGCTTACTTACATGTTGTAGAGACATATAGCCACATTGTGATTTGCTAACAGTGGTTCTCAATCTGTGGATCCCCAGATGTTTTGGCCCACAACTTCCAGGAATCCCAGCCAGTTTACCAGCTGATTCCTGGGAGTTTGAAGGCCAAAACATCTGGGGACCCACATGTTGAGAACCTCAGGGCTAGAATATAATCCCACCTTTTCCCAGTTCAAGCTTTATTGCATTGTTTAGGGTCCTTCCACACAGGCACATAACTCAGAATATAAAGGCAAAAAATCCCACATCTGCTTTGAACAGGGTTATCTGAGAGCACACTACCATATATCCCTATTCAAAGCAGATAATGTGGGACTTTATTCGGCTGTGTGGAAAGGGCCTTACTTTGTAAAAAAGTGTTTCTTTTTCAGAAGAAAACCGGAATATACATGTACTGGCTCCCTTCTCAAGCACTGAAATGTTAGACACTCAATTCAGAAAAGATATAAATTCTGTAAGATGACAATTATTTGATAACACTTTTTTCTTTTGATAATTATTCCATGCCAGTCTCCTTTGTCTGAGAATTTATCCCAAATTTTCCTCTTATGCCAACAACTCCTTATTCTATATATCTGGCACCTATAGCCACATTTTTATTTTCAGTTATATATAGATCTCTCTATATGAACTTGCATTTATATTTTGGTCTTATCTTCTGGAGCATATATAATAAACTAATGCTTGAATAATACATTGCCTAAATGATATGCTGTTGCTCTATTAACAGACTTGCCACTATTTTTAATTTCCTCTAATTTTCATTACAAATTTTTAATAACAAACAATTATTAATACTGTAAAAATTTACATGAAACATATTTCTGTTACTCTTCCCTGTCTACGAAGATGACCTGACCTTTCTCCCTAATTTTCACAGATAAGATGCAGAATATATTCCTGTCTAGTATTTTATTATCATATTCTTCATTTATCATTCATCTTCAAAGTTATATATAACCACCTAATAATCATGTAACTAGCTCTCTATTTTTCATAATTTGTCACAATCATGTCTCACTTTTAAAAAGGAATATTAATTTCCGTTTTTATGTCTGTACCAGAGAGATACTTCTGTGTTTTATTTCCTCAATGAAAATAGCCCCTATTTATTTTTATACATTTCCTCTGATTTAGGTTGTTCTATGTATAATTTGTCTAATGGATATAACTCTTTCTTACTGATTTAAATATGTTTCTGCAAAGTTTTCTCAATTATGTACATGCACATTGCTATGTACACAGCATACCCTTAGGAAACACTATGGGAATCTTGAAATATTGAATGCTTGATAGCAACTGCACATTTTTTCACAGCAAATTTTGAGATGTGCCAAAGAAGAAGTTTAGAAAATTTTCTATCTGTTCCTACTACTAGGAAAGTTTTTTCAAGATATGCAATATCATAGATGTACTCACAGATTTTAAAGATTTACTTTTAATGCAGATTTACTCAATTTAGCATTAGTACCTGCAACAGAATTCCATATAGATAAACTAATGAGTATACTTTATTGAGTTTATGATAGGCTTATATTATTTTGTGCTATCTTTAAAAAGTGTTACTCTAGAGTGATCCTTTTATCACAATGACCCCCTCCACACAGCTTTATAAAAGCCACATTGAATTGAATTATAAGGCTGTGTGGACTCAGATAATCTAGTTCAAAGCAGATATTGTGGATTATCTCTCTTGATATTCTGGGTTATATGACTGTGTGGAAGGTCCTTAGTAGCCATGATAATGCTATTGCTCTACATATATGGGCTCCTTTAGTGATAGTGTGTAAGACAGACAGCTGCTTGTAGCCACAAACTGACCAAGGGCTCTTCCACACAGCCATATAACTCAGAATATCAAGGCATAAAATCCCACAATATCTGCTTTGAACTGGGTTATTCCGAGTCCATACTGCTATATATTCCAGTTCAAAGCAGAAAATGTGGAATTTTATTCAGCTGTATGGAAGGGGCCTAAAATAGTTTTAGGCAAGTCACTGTCTCTCAGAATCAGTTCTCATTTTAATCTACAACATGGAGTCAATAATACTGACCTCCATGCAATGTAGTTGGAAGATAATTAAAGAAATCTATTATAAAGAATTTTGAAAGCAAAATGTAAATGTCAAACAATGTTACAATATGTGGGGGTTTGGCAAGGAAGATTAAAATAAACGCCTTAAACAATCCTTTCTTTTGAATACAAGCCAGAGCTAAACATTAAACAAATAGCTTTGAGCTATTATATTGTTTATTTATTGACATACATTCTGCTTTCTTCTCTTAAACAAGACTTCTCTTAAACAAGTACCTTACAACACTAAAAACATTTAAATTCAATTATACGACAAAGTAGTGTCCTCAGAGGTGATTACGTTCTTCTATAAGCAAAAGAGAAGAGCCGGTTACAGATGATTCTGTGGATGCACCTACACTGGAGAAATACCTGTCTGTTTATCCGCCTGCCTATTTATCTAAAAATTAGGCACAGGCCAAGAATGAATCTGCTACTTAATGCAGCCTTTTCATAACCTTAAATATTTCTAGAAGAATAGTTCATTGTGTTACTTTTGTTAACATTCTTACCTAGAGAGCATGCCCAGAGGTGTAACATTAAGAGATCCCATCAGCATTGCCAAGGCCATCCCTGGGGCCTCTCGTTCTATTACTTCTTTAGTAGCCTGTAATCAAAGATTAAACAGCAGACTGAGTGAAAACAACAAAAGAAAGCAAAATAAATATAAAGCTATGTGAAATCTCTTTGTCTTCTTGTGAAAAGCAACTCAGCATACGTTTCTAGTAGTGAATTGTGCAAACTCATCTGGTTCTGTGGAAGCATACATCACCCCCACCATGATTTCTATAAACTGCTACTCATCACAGAATGCATTTTTCTTAGGTTTATGCAATAATAGGCAAGCATAGTCATCACAATGCTTCACTGAGTGAAATGGCAGTTGGCTCACCAGTGATTACCAACAGAGAGCCTCAAAATACTGAAATCATATTCAATATGCAAATATCGAATATAATCTGCACAAGTCTCATTGGCCAAGTTGATTTTTCTTGAAAATCCAACTAACATGCCCTCTGTATTGGGTCAATGGCTGGAAATGGCTTATAAAACCTTGAGTACAATTGCTCTTTAATCATCTACTTATGTGGAGAAAGGACAAATTTTCCACTCATCCTGAGTGGTGCATGACTTTGTAGACATGCTCTACTTCCACCAAGAAGACATCTGGATGCTGTGATATTATCTGGCACATACTTTGCAGAAGACAGCAATGTTTAGTTTAGAGTAGGAGCATGAAGATATCAGAAATAGTATGATATACAAGAAAACAGTGTCAGAAGTCTCCAGGATTGAAATTAAACTTCCTGTTACAGTAAACATTTTTTAAAAGTGTGGTTTAAAATGGCACCTGAATGCATCAAAAAATTAAAAGAAGGGATATGTTATATTTTCTTAAACAAGTCTCCATTATTTCATATCAAACACAAATTCTGAATTACGCACAAAGATGTAATGGTCTGCAGAGAAGAAACACAATGAAAGACCACAGAATCTTGTTGCTTATGAATTTTGGAAAGAAAAAAAGGCGTGTATAGACTAGACATTATAAATCACGGTTATCTCAGAAATGGTATAACCTTCCAACGTGGCAGATCTATATTATTCCATCCAAAGCTTCAGAGGTAGACTTTTGGTTAGCTGTTGGGTTGTCTCATTTGGCTGCCTGTTGGCAAACACAAAAGCTGACTTTTGGGCTAAAACACTCCAAGGGTCTCCACACCTCCACTGTCCAAAATTCAAAAGACAATGATCCCAAAATAGACATCAGCACCACCTTGTGGGGGACGGCCAGTCGTATTTCAGGTGTCTGCCAACTTCTCAGTAAGAGACAAATGGTTCAGACTGACTGAGAAGTTAGCTAATTTGGTTTGGGCCCAGGTCAGTTGATTTTAGTGTAATTCATTGAAAACTGGTAAAATGACCAGGAGTACCTATCCCCTAGGCTAGGCTTGGGGAACTAATGGCTCTTGCAGGACCAACAAAATATATAGTTCTTTATATTTTGTGTGTGGAGGTGTGGAACTGTTTGTATGTGGGAGGATGATAGTGACTGCTCTGGTCCTCCAGGGACTCAAGGTGGCCAATGCAGCCCCTCAACCTGAGAAGTGCCCACCTCTGTATAAATGAAACAAAACAATCAATGGTTAATTCAGTTTTTAAGTTTATCTGGGAGAGAAATTTATAGCCTGAAATATCACTTACTCAGGCATTTTTCTCCCTCTGACCTTCTTACAATCTGAGTTGCATAGCTGGCCTGGTCTCAACTTGGAAGAGTATTTCAACCTTTGCCCCGTTGCTCTGTTTTTCAAACCTGACCAGCCAGACTCCTTTGATTCCTTGGCACAACCCCTGTTCCCTGCCTGGTGCATCCTCAACAGGAAAAGAATGAAAAATTGATTTTGTGCCATTTCTCCTCTCTCACATCAACTTTCTTACACAAACCCAAATCATTCACATTCCAGTCTTCCAAGAAAAAAAAACTTTGGTGCAAGTTCTTGGGAATGAAAGTGGGAGGAATTGCCTCAAAGTAAGGCAGCTATAGAAGTCCAACTCATTATGGCTCTGTGCCTTCAGCCCATCCCCTAAGATAAACCTACCACAAGTGTTTCTTAGCAAAATTGGTTCAGAGAGGATTTATATTTGCCTTCCTCTGATGCTGAAAGAATGTGGTTTGTTCAAGGTCACCTAGTGGGTTTTCATGACCAGAGATTTGAACTCCAGAGTTGTAATCCAATGTTCAAATTGTTACACCATACTGCCTCTCTCCAACATATTACATTTATAAAGTATGAGAAAAATAATAATAATTTATCTATCAATCTGATGAATATGAGAAAACTTCTCTCTACAAAGTTACAAAAATTTGGAAATTTATTTATTTGTTTATTTACTCTATTTATAGCCCGCTTTTCTCTACCCTGAAGGGGACTCAAAGCGGTTTTACATATGGCAACTATATGATGCCTTTAGACAAAAGATAATTAAATACTTTAAAGTTAAAATTTAAAATTAGAGTTAAAATGCACAGTAAAACATATAAACCTTATAATCACTATTAAAATCACGCCATCCACAATCATAAAATTTATTGTACGTCATAGAGTTTTTACATGTCAGATCCACCCTGACTTTCCTTTAGTATCATCAAATAATAGATTCTCACTATAACAACTGGGTGTAAAAAAAAAGAGCTTACCAAACAAAACTGTGAAAAGTTTCTTTCTTAGATTCTATTTTGGTTAATAAGTGAAGTAACTTTTGTGTAACTCTGAATTATGATGCTTTCAGATCCTCTCCTAATCTTTAAATAAAGGTGATCAAACACTTTACAGACCAAATTTTGGCTTTATAAATCAAAGCATTTAAAAAAATAAATACATTCACTACTGCAATGGTCTAAGTGCTGAGTTTACTTTTCATCTTGTTTTCTCTTCATAATCTGTACAAGGTTTGTGATCTGGTACTTGTTTATTCTCTTCCAATATGTTCTCAACTTTGGAACACAAACATATTTAAATCTGTGGCATCACCAGGAGAGGAATACAGGATAGCTAATGAAATCTGTCTTGATTCCTGGTTGTTTTCTGTTTACAGAAACAGAAAACAGATCATTAATTGCCATTTCAAAACTAGACTTGAATTACACTCCTGTCCTGCTATTTCACATGTACAAATGTCAGACAGTGTTCCATTCCCTCATTCTCTGAAATACTTCAGTACCACCTTGTCTTAGTAGAAATGTTATGAAATGGTAAAGTGGAACTTTGAAAATCCTGCTTTATTTGTAAGAAGCAAGCATGCTTTATAGACTGTTCCGTTTCGTTTTTCCTGACACATAAAAGCTTGGGTTAAGCTTTATCTCTGAATCCTGTATCAGGATTTAATTAACAAACTATGATGAGTCAACTCTAAACCTGGTTTCCCATTCTTGTGTGTTAGAGAATCAAAGCAAGAATCAGCATACAGAATACAGATCCTCTGAAGGTGCCAACCACAGCTGCAGGTGAAACGTCAGGAGAAAATGCTACTAGAACACAGCCATACAGCCTGGAAACCACACAACACCCTAGTGATTCCAGATGTGAAAGCCTTCGACAGTATACAGAAAGATGATACTGGTAAGGAAAATATCCTCTCATTTTAGTCAGTGCCTTTAATGGCCTCTTCCAAGTTTTTTCCATCAGCTACTTTGTAATTTTATTTGATCCTTTCACTGTTATTTGAATTTGTGGTTCATTGTACTGTAACTGGATTATTTATGGTTTCAATTTTTCTATAACACTTTGAACCACTTGTTTGTATTTTAAACTCCAATTTTGTATTACAGTTTAGAAGTGGATTTTTAAAGTCATTTTTGCTATACATGTGTAGGGGAATAAATAACTAGTATTAAAACAAGCACCAGAACTCAGGAGCTGAAACTGGAAACAGTACTAAGTCTCTGTTAACCTCTTGGTTACTGTTCTTTCTTCTGCTTCTGTATCAAAGAGGAATCAAGCAGGAATTATAAAGCAGCATATATCAGGAAGCTTGCTAATCTACAGGCCAGACTTCACAGGAATTCTGCTTTGCTATTTTGTCCAAATATGACCTTTCTGTTTCCCCTGTCAGCAAATATGAATAGTTTGAACATGCAATTTTCATATTACAGTACAGTCTTACTGAAGAAGAAGGTATAAGACCCTAAGCAAAGAAAGAGGATAGGATTCTTTCAAAGAGAGCACAAAGCTTTAATACAGGCATCAAAAAGCCCACTCCCCAGCCTCAGATAAACATTCCTCAGTGGTTTTAAAAACACATAAGGAACTCCAAAGCTTATATCCGAGTCCTTTGAACTTTCTCATCAGCACACTGAATTGTATCTGGAAACGGGTAAGTGGTAGATGCTTCTACAAGGAATTCTTCATTTGTAGCCCCTATTAACAGTGATGCTTTTTTGTTCTGGACCAACTGAACCTTCAAAATATCTTTCAGAGTCCTACATACAGTGTGTTGCAATAATCCAGAAATGAAAGAACTAAGGAATAATGTTGCTTGAATCAACTATGTATTCCCCAGAAATAGAAATGGCTGGAACACCCGTTTTAGCTGGATAAAGGCTAGTGACTAAAACTATAGTATTAATGCTGCAGACTAGGTCCAACTCTCCCTCAAAACTGTTGACCTATATTTTAAAGGGGAAACCACACCATTCAACAAAAGATGAAATGTCATCCCAGATAAACTGTACTAATCAAGATGATCTCTTTCTTTTATGAGTTTCCATGAGCCCATTTGCAGTCAACTGCTACTTTGAAGTAATGGTTCACTGACTAAAGTGGAAAAGAGAAGCTATCTAGTCAGACACCCACATATTCGTAAATTTGAATTACAAAATTATAATCTCCAACAAGGATTATATGAAGATATTAAATGGAATAGGCAGTAAAAAATATCCTTGAGGGAGACCAGAGGTCAACAACCAAGGCACTGAAAAAGCATTCACCAGTATCCCATTTTGAGACTGAGCTTCTAGGAGGAATGAAGCTACTGTAACACCATGGCCCTAAGTCCCAAGACAGTGCAAAATAACGCATCGGTTGACGGTACCTAAAGTTGGTAAGT